CAATAACTCTCTCTTGCTCCTTTCCCTCCTCTCTCCCAGTTCCCGGAAATCACCTTTATACTTTCTTTTTCTATTATTTTGACTATTCTAAGTATTTTTGGGGGGGAGGGGAGAAGTTTTTGCTATAGGGCAAGTGCGCTCACCAGAAAGACAGAGAGACAGAAGCAAGAAAGCATCATGTTGCAGTCCCTTCTCCTCCATTCCCCTCTCCAGACTTTGGGCATGCACACACACACACCTGGTGGGAGTTTGAAGCCACTGGGTCCAGGACTTGAACTACAGACTACACCAGAGAGAGAGAGAAAGAGAAAGAGAGAGATGGACAGTGAGAGGGAAAGTGAGAAATCATGCCCAAGGGGGAACGGCCCCTCCACAATCCCTTCTCCTCCATTCTCCTCTCAGAATCTTAGGCACACATGCACACGTGCCCAGCATGATTTTTAATCACTGGGTCCAGTTCTCAAACCATAGTTGGCCATGTGGGAGTCCAGCGACATAAGAGCTACGTCATCTGCTGGCCCTGCTCCTAAGTATCTTTGAACCTGTGGATCTTCCATCATCGTTTCCCCACTTAAACCATTATTAGCCTTGTCTAATAATAACAACCTTCACTTTCCCGGGATTTATTTTTTTAAATGGCTTTTATCGAGAAGTAGGAAACACCTACAGAAAAATACATAACATGAAGTGCAGTTTGAACGAGTCGTTCCCCTGCAGGCGTCTGTGTGGGTACCGTGGGGTCAGAAACAGGTGCTGTTGGCGTCTAGTCCCTCGCATTTCTGTGGCACAGCCCTTCTCCTCCCTTCCAACACGACCAATTGCTTGGTTTGTATGGAAATCTCTTTTAAGATTCGTTATTTCTTTCTCCTGTGGGATTTCCTGGGTATTCTTGCACTGTATTCTTTCTATGTCTGCAAAACACTTTTGAGCACATTTACCTTTGAAAACATCACCGAGTCTTGACTCTCCTGTCTGAGCGCTTCCTCCTCATTCGTGCCTGCTGGTCACCAGATGTGTTTGGTCCCACTCTGGGCTTCAGCAGTAGTTTCTTTTGTTGTTTCTCTTTCTGGGCCACTTCACTGCAGGCTAGAAGCTGTGGCCATCAGAGTTCTTCACTGTGAGAAGGAAACCGTTTTGGGCTAATTTATTAAAGGCACGTGGATGGCCTGCAAGTCCTGAGAAGTTTTGGACTTAGGCTTAGAAACTTCACTGCCAGGAGCAAAGCTCAAAATCTCTTCACATAACTGGCCCCAGGAGACGCCTCTGTCACCTCTGCACAGACGTCAGTGCTTGTGTACCAGACACTGTTCATGCTGGGCTCTGTGTATCTCCCTGAACGCCACAATCCCTTCTCCTCCATTCTCCTCTCGGGATCTTGGGCACGCACGCACACGCACCCGGCGTGAGTTTTAAGCCACCGGGTCCAGAACATGAACCGCGGTCGACTACGTGGGAGTCCAGCAACATAGCCATTACGCTAACTGCTGGTTCCCTCTGTTACTCTTTTTGATCTTGTAAAGGTGAAATTCTATAGCCAATAAACAATAACTCTCTCTTGCTCCTTTCCCTCCTCTCTCCCAGTTCCCGGAAATCACCTTTATACTTTCTTTTTCTATTATTTTGACTATTCTAAGTATTTTTGGGGGGGAGGGGAGAAGTTTTTGCTATAGGGCAAGTGCGCTCACCAGAAAGACAGAGAGACAGAAAGCGAGAAATTCCCCCCCCCAGGAGGAAGGCCACACCACAATCCCTTCTCCTCCATTCTCCTCTTGGGATCTTGGGCATGCACACACATGCACCTGGCGTGAGTTTAAGCCACTGGGTCCGGGACTCGAACCATGGTCAACTACATGGGAATCCAGTGACATAGCCGTTACGCCAACTGCTGGTCCCCACTATTCTAAGTATTCTATGTAAGTGGAATCATATAGCTTTTGTTTTTGTTTTATGTGGCTAACTTATTTTACTTAGTATAATGTCTTTAAGTTTCAACCAAGTTGTAGCATATAGCAGGATGTATTCCTTTTTTAAGGGTTGAATAATATGCCCTTCCATATAGATGCCAGATTTGCTTATCCATTCATCCATCAGTGGACATGTTTTAGCTATTGCGGATAACATTGTTATGAACGTGGGTGTACAAATCTCTCTTTGAGATCCTGCTTTCAATTACCTTGTATATATATCCAAAAGTGAAATTTCTAGATTATGTGATAATTTTGTTTAAATTTTTTGAGGAATATTGTTTTCCATGTGGTTGTACCATTTCCATGAAGAGTGCACAAGGATTCTAATTTTTCCACATGCTTACCAACACTTATTATTTTCTGGAGTTTATTTATTTATCATTGCCAGAGGGCACATGAGCACATGAACTGGGTGTATTCTTCAAGCCATCATGGCCAGGATTTGAGCTAGAGTTGGCCATATGGAATCTAACTCCCTTCGCCATTAGGCTATGGGACTGGCCATCTTCTAGTTCCCTTTTAAGAGAACTATCAGAGGGCTTTGGAATAATTCTTTGCCACAAAATTATGGAAAAATTAGCCAGGATAAAGGGATCATGAAGGTTAACTAGTTTTACTCTCCTTTCTAAATTAAGCACTTGACAAACTGATCATAATCTTTTACGTTTTTTTACTTTATTTTTTTCAATTGAAGTGTTTGCTTACAGCAATAGCCAGAGTGAGAAGAAGGTGCTAGGTCATCCAACTTCTCTGGCAAGCTAAAATCTTCACACTGAGTCATAATCGATATTCTTCTCACACGGCTGGAGAGGAAGGCAGCATTTCAAAAACTTCTGGCAGAAAGCAACAAGTTCTTCGTTTTTATCACAAGATGTCACACATTTCCCTTTAAGTTGGTTGCATTTCTTATCAAAAAATGCATTCTTGGCTACACAAGGGAAGGAGCCACCTGGATTAAATTTCTTTTCAGACATGCCTAGTAATCAGGTGCAATCATGCAACTAGTTTGTGAAGATTTCTTTATAAGTTGTCATAATACCTTATCTTACCAGTAGATAAAGTGGAAGGAAATACTCTCTATCCAATATTTCTTTTTCTCACGCAGGAAGGAAGATCAAGAATAGAATTGTCTTCCAGCGTTTTGGAGTAAGGTATCAGGGGGTGGTTTGGAGAACAAAAGCAACCATTCTATTTATCAAAATCTGTTGGGGCAACTATCAATGTGTTCCTATAAACACTTCCAGAGTCAGTAACTTCCAGTACACTCTAAAGGATTACTCCTTAGGGAAAGTAGAGCAAGACCTTAGATTGGAGAAATGACTCAAGACTGGAATAAAATATATATATATGCACACACATATGTATACACACATAGGATATATATATATATATACATATATATATATATATATGCACATTTCCATGAATATATAAAAAGAAAAATATTTACTGTAGTAGAAAGTGTTCATAAAAAAGGCTTCTTAGAAAGGCTTAGTCTGGGGACCAGCAGATGGGGTAATGGTTACGTCGCTGGACTCCCACATAGTTGACCTCAGTTTCAGTCCCAGACCCAGTGGCTTAAAATTCATACCAGGTGAGAGTATATGCACACCCGAGATCCTGAGAGGAAAATAGAAGAGAAAGGATTGTGGTGTGGCCATCTCCCCTCAGGAGTGATTTCACGCTTTCTGTCTCTCTGTCTCTCTGGTGAGCACACTTGCCCAATAGCAAAATCTCTCTTAAAAAAAGAAAGGCTCAGTCTGATTTCTCCTTGACATACCTCAAAATGCCAACTACAGGCTGTGCACAGTGGCATACTCCCATTATCCTACCTAGTTTGGAGATGGGTAGAAATCACATAGCAAGACTTATACCAATATCTCTCTCTCTTTCTCCCCTCCTCCTCCTCCTCCTCCTCCTCCCACTCATGTGCACTTTTTACCTCTCCCTTTTTCTCTCTAATAAAAGAAAAAAATCCAACTGTTGAAGGCATGTGCTTTAGAGCAGGTTGGGAGTGGCCCACTTTTTTCATACCATTTTGTGTAGAATTATGGTCATGACCCTTGGTACTTTATCAGTAGCCATAAGAGCAACCTGCTTCAAGTTAAGGACAGACAACACATCTAACCAAAATCAACACTTTAGAGTTGTCTTATTTAGGAATATATAACGAAGGTGTCAGACGTATACAGAAGACATTTCATGTCAACATATTAAAGGGGCCTAATTCACACTTATGTGAAATATACGACTAGATGAATTAGTGTTGGCATATGTGCTAATCATTATCTAGCACAGATATATCAGTTCATAAAAAATAAATACTTCATCATTTCAAAGCTCAGAGAACTTTGGCTTCTACTGCAGTGCTCCATGTCCTCTCCACCCTCCTAATACTACCATAAGGATCTCAAGGTGGAGGTACAAGAATGCATTCTTACAGAAGTCCCTTGTACTGGATCCAGTTCGCAATGATTGCCCAGAAGCAGCTTTGGGGCGAAAAATTTTAAAAAGCATCCATGTCTGTAAGGCTTCTAATGAACCATCACACGTACACATACATGCACATGTAACATGTGTTACAGTAGTAGATTTTGTTTAGATATATTAGATAATACTATATAATCTTGTATTTTGTTAACTAACCATATATGTTTTCTGAAAAGGAAATTTCTGGTCAGTTTTCAATGTGTACATCAAAGCCATGGAATGAATACAGCATGGTTTAGGTTCTTGATCATCATACCCTGACACTGAATCTACTTCACACAAGCTTGTCTCAGAACAGACCAGAGATATGAAGAGATGGTATAAAAATTATAAGTGTCACACATGGACTGATATCTCATTAGCATTTGGCACAAAGGTGAACTTACTGTGGGTTCTAAGAAGCCCTTTCTTCAGCTCTCTGGAATCTGGGATGAATCTAATCTGTTATATAACTTTGAGGAGGTTACAAATGGAAACTTTGAAGGTTCTCAAAAGCAAGAGAAAGTGAAGAGAGTTCTTATATGGAAAGGACATCATAAACACCTCTCACTGCAGCAAGACAGAGTTGAGCTCTAATCCCAGCTTCACACCTGTTCATCTGCATGACCTTAGGAAGCTGGTTAACTCATCTAAGTCTCAATTGCTGCATCTGCAAAATATACATAAAATGAAAAATAAAAAAAGTTTCTGAATGTCATTAAATTAGAGATAGAGAAGAGCTTTCCTTAAAGGCATTGGCTTTGAAAACTAAGTACATTTTATTATGTAAAGGTTGGTTGGGGATTTTTTTACATTTAATCACTGTACTTCTTCACACTGTACAACTTGGTTCTTCCCAGCATGAATACAGTGCATATTAATGAACTCACAGATCCTACCATGTATGTTGTCATCAAGAGATAACTTTCATTTTTGTGTCTATTAAACCTTTCATTGGTTTGTTTATTCCCCGATCCCCTCCCTACCACCCACTACCCACCCTCCATTACTCACTCTTTACCTTCTCCTATACTGTCTCTAATATCTTCAGTTGCCTTCCCTTTAATCACAGAATCCCATGTGATCAAGGAATGGAAGTCTAACTTATGCTGTTCTACCTAATATTTATATAGCTCTAAGCCATTCTTTTTCTCTTATTTCTCCCTTTCTCTGTATCTCACATTTATAGGTTTTAATCTCTACAATAATCATATAGATTTTTGCCTTAGGGCATGTACACTTACTGGAGAGAAAGTGAGAGGGAAGGTGAGAAATCACCACAGGGAGGGTAGCCACACCACAATCCCTTCTCCTTCATTCTCATTCCAGGATCTTGAGCATGCACACACACATCCCCAGTGTGATTTTCAAGCTACTGGATCCAGGACTCAAACCACAGTTGGCCATGTGGGAGTCAAGCAATGTAACCACTATGCTATCTGCTGGCCCCAATAACCATATTTTAAAAGGTTCACAACTGCTACCCTTACTTTTATTTCCTTTCCCAATTTTTGTTTTTGTTAGTGAGCATGAGACTGAGCACCAAAAGACATTTTCCCTGGCATCCCTTTATTTCTCTTAACCTGTAACAGTGCCTCCTACATATAATGGAAAATGCAAAGAATTTATAACGAAACATGGGGAAACGTTGCCTTTTGTAGCAAATGTTCCCCTGGAGGGCCACACAACCAGAGGCATCTTTGGCTCTAGGGTTGGTAACTCCTAAGCATTCACTGACATAAACCCTCTGGGCTACCACCTTCAATCCCTTTCCTGTGAAGATGCTCATTTACCTGGGGCCAAAAAGAGGAGAACAGCAAAGAGAAATAGGAATGTCCTCATGACTTGGAGGATCTTGAGAGTTTAATACAGTGTCCATGAGAAAAGAGCAGCAAACACCCACATTTATACATTTCCTCAGACCAAATAACATCTTGATCAGTGATGCTTGTCAGAAATGAGACTATTTTCATGCTCTGCTAAGTATATCTCGTAAACCTAATGAGTGTTACTCAGTCTACAGACAAAAGATCTGGAGTCTGGCATTTGTATTTCTAATCCTAACTATTCAGATTCAGTTTATTCCTATGCAAAATTAGAGCAACTACATAATATTGTAAAGCTTCAATTAAGAGTTGGTGCGCTCTAATCAAAGGGGGTCTGAATTCCAGATTCAATCTTCATGAGTTGTAATCTTGACAAAGTGCTTGACTTAAGCATATGTTTCATTATTTGACTACAAATGAGTATCTTGTCACATGCTGCGTGCACGTTTTAATGCATCATCACATTGAATTCTCAAACAACTTCCTAGATAGTTATGGAATATTGATTAAGATTGTGTGTGCATGTGTGTGCGAGTACATGGTATTTAAATTATTAAAACACGTATAATTCTAAATATTCTTACCAATTACAAACGTAAATGTGCCTTTAACACTATGACATTCTCCTCCATGATAAAAACTACTCTAAATGTTTCAGGATCCCACCATGGTGAGTAATTCTTTTTCTTAATTTGAAGTTAGTCAAGGAAGTGGGTGCAGCAAAAGATCTGAATTATCTACTTTATTTCTTCCTTTTTGTGAAATAAGGAGTGGGTGTCCATGTGATCCAGTGAATTCTATGGACATGAGTGTGGTGAGTTTCAGAATCTGGGGGCTGATCAAGAAAGAGGCAGGACCACAGAGTCAGTGACACAGTAGGCCTTACTGGGCCATGGTGGGCCAAGTTTCATGAGTGGGGATGTTCCTTGTGAGAGGAAGCCTACTGAAGACAATGGGATGAGAGCACCTCACAATAGGGAAGAGGGTGGCAGAACTTCCAGGGGAAAGGAGAATCAGACAGGGTCTTGTATTTCTAGATAATATTGCTCAGGAACAAGGTAAAGAGTCACCTTATGTTTCATAAAGGTGACTCAGAGAGCTGGGAAGGGCAGCAGAGGTTTGGAGGTGTGTCATATGAATAATGAGCAAATGGTGGAAACAGTTTTGTGGGGAACACAAAGCAGCAGGCTCTGAATAGCTAAACATATGCCTATTCAAGCTAGATTTAAAGTAACTGGATAAATAAGAATTCGAGTTTGTGACCAAGGAGCTGTGAGCTAAAAAAGTAAACACCATAGGGACCAATATATGAGGGAAATTCAAAACATTCATGGAAAAATGGAGTTAAAATACAAGGTTATTTCGGTATCAAGAAAATAAAAACTTTTGAAATCCCACATAGTGTTTTCATAATATACATTTCCCATTAACTTTGTGAAGACTTAGTGTATAGGGACCATCTGCCATTTATATGACAAGGAGGCCTTGTGGTTTATATTTAAATAGACAATTCTTTTCCTTTTAGGCAATTATCATCTTAATTTTCTAAGACTAGAAATCAATTTCAGGTCAGATCTGGTTACATAATTTGCTGGGCCTAGTGCAAAAAATAAATAAAACAAGCAAAAGATCCCTTGTTGAAAAAGGCAGGAAAAATGTGCCAGAAAAAAAAATATATATATAAAAAGTGTTTCTTTTTGTTCTC